AACATCCGACCTCACAACAGGAACAATAGCAGTACAACTAACGACGCGCTCAGAATTGCAATTACTAGAGCAGTTAGAACTAATCAAACATCTTATAGTATTGGTAATATTGTCAGAGAGGCGGATGTTACTAGTTGGGACGCTTTGTGTTTCAGAACAGCAGTGAATTCAAAGAAGTGGTGGACACACAGTACAAGTTATTCATCAGAATCAGCGATGCGTTACATACATAAATATAACAATGTGATTTCAATCACCAACACCAGAGACTAAAGCAACAGACGGACAGGCCAATTTATTAGGACATGTAGAGATTACGCATTCGGATTTATCAGTAAGTCAAAGAGTCAAAATGGATAATCCAGATAGCAACGGACAACTATTCATGTCAACTAGGAATGCCAATAAGTTAGGCATGACATCATGTAGTTCTGATGTTTACGGCTCTCCAACATCAACCTAAACAGTGACATTTACAGGAACTGGAACATGTAGTGCTTTAGTTGCAGCATGAGATATGAAATGGAAAGAACATATTCAAGAAGTGATAAGGCTTGCTATAATTAGAGTTGTTGATTCGTACCATGAGCATGTCAGGGCAGTGAACATTGAGAAAAAACAGATTTGATGCAGCAATCAGGCATGATGTTACTGTACAACTACCAACCAAACATGACGTTATTCCTACGAAGCCTCCAGCAGAAAGAATCACATTGGACCCGATCCCCTGCCCCCCTGCCTACCCATTCCTCTGAAAGAATCCCCCTCCCCCCCAACCCCCTCCCCACTCCGCTTACGTTGTTTTTGCAGACCTTGAAGGCTACTTTTGCTAAAGCAAGACTTAACTCCGCTAGCTTTCGTGATTTGTCGTGCTATTCCAGCCTTTCAATCGCAAGAACACCAGCCCCCCCGAATTCTCTTGAGCTTCCGAGACATTACAATCAAACGAACAGGCGGAAGAGGTCCTTGCATTTCCGTACTCCTTTTAAGATCACTTGTGATCCGGCCGCGGCGCTTGCCAGCGTTAGGACACGTTAAGACCGACTCATTCAAAAGTATTCATTGCCTGTCTTGAAAGCTATGAGGAATTTGGGCATAGGCTTAGAGACAACTCTGGCCTTGCCCCAGACGCTTTGTTTTAAGCTTCTCGCTCTCGCCGTTCGCTGCCCAAGCGGCAGCTAGAAAACTGAGTCTAAGCAGCGCTTTGGCAAAGATCAAAGCCAGACTTGTGGACTGCGATGGCATGTGCCAATGTGGGCATCGGTCGGGTACCAAGCTTTCTGCATGTACTCTTGTAGCAGAGGATACACAGCTAGAACTTACTTCCGCCTTCTGAAGAGGCCATGTTTCACTATTGAGGTACAGAACGCTCTTTGACCCGAGTCTTTCGAAGAGGATCACGCTCAACTCACGACTTCATCATCGCGGACCAGCTGAGCGTGCTTGACACCAAGGAAACCTGCACTTGTTGCGGGACAGGGGGCAGAACATGCTAGCACCTGCACTGCTGCGCTTAAGGCCGCGACGATACACCCTGTGTTGCAAAGCAAATACTGCTTTCCGTATATCACTAACATAGTTTTGCAGTGTTTTAAGGTTTGACTTCAGAACAATTTCGCTTGCAACAGCAGCAATGGATCCTGCACCTTGCGTACATCCGGTAACACATGCAGCTCCACCGGGCCTGCAATGATGGCCCAAACGATCACCCAGCCGACAGTGAAGCTGCCTGCATGCAAATCAACATGCGCTAGTACTGCAACATGTACAGCACTCCTACTCAAGGCAGGGATGGATGGCAAAGGTCACCAGAGGCTCAGGAGAGGCGCCATGCTCTTCCACACAAGAAGTCATTCATGAGGAGCCAACAAACTTTCTCACTGCGGCCCATCGCAATGTGATGCCCTGCTGCAGTATCGCAGTGTGCTCACAGGGGCTTGATAAGAACCCAGTCACATGGAACGTCCTACACAGGTAGGTGAAGAAAAGAACACAGTCCACGCGCTCGGCGCATCCGTGCAGCGTCTCCAAAAAACCAAGAAGCTACAATAGGTCACTGCTTATAGTGCAAGCTCGGAACCAAGAAGAAGAGCCTTACTTGGACCAGGCCTGTGAAAACTGGGTTGAAGCAATGCGGCTGACAGGAATCCTCCAGAGTAAGTCAGATGCAACGAAGATGGGATTTGGGGATTTTGGGAAGGGGGCTGCAGCTTCTGAGCAGGGTCTTGGATTCAAGGACAGCTCGGGTGCATGGTCTGCGGCATGTGCTCCTGCCAAACCACAAGCTCAGCAGGTCTTCAGGTTGAAAGGTCAAGCGCAGGATGACGCAGGGTCTGGATTTTTGTATGGTGGAAGATGCTCTGACAGTACATTTCATGTCCTCCTCGCGGTTGACATGAAGGTTGATCAGAGCGCCGATCGTCTTCTGCAGGAAGTTTCCATACCTGCTAACGGAAGGCTAGCAGCATCTTGAGGCCATGGTCGCAATGCCGCCAAAAAGCATTCTCAGACACGCTATTGCAGTCCAGCGTGGTGTTTGAAAACGTAGTTTGCTATCCCAGTTACTTCTGGCTGCCCGGGGTGGGTTCTGTAGAAGGCATCCACGAATGATCAGGCGAAGCTTACTGACATGCTGCAGGATGGGTCCCAAGGAAAGTATCTTGAACCACGCCAGCTACCAAGAACTAGCAACTTCTATCTTGGAACTGGAGACACCAAAATGAAGCAACGAATGAGGCCCTGGCATGTCAGACCAACTTTTGGCCTTGTACTTGATGCTCTTTGAGGTGCCTGTGCTGCTTGTGGGCCGCTTCAGCAGCGCTTGCCCACCATTGGCTTATGCGCTATCTCAATTTTTCAAAAGAAAACGTCTCTGTGAGAAAGAAAAACCCATTTACCCCTGCAAACGCGTCTGAGGGCTCAATGCTGCAGTACAGGAAACCGAACGCCTGCATCTACTGCTTCTGCTTACCAGAAAAGGGAGCCAAAGCATTTCCAAGCAAGCACAGGCGCGCACGTACAGCATCTCTCCTGGCGATGCAGAAATATTACGCATGTCTAGGCAAGCTGAACGGTTGCTTCAAAGAATTGGAAGCTTGTATGCTCATTTCCTGTGCAGGAACCGTGACGAAGCTCTTCCGGAACTTTCGACATGCTGAGGAGATGTGGCCCAGAAGCTTCGCAACGTCTTGTCGAAGGAGAACGTGCACCAGGCTCACGTTAGGTTGCTACCAGGTTTGCGCGTAAATGCAGATCAAGGTGGGTACAGAAAGAGCTGCTAGGTCATTCACGCTACCATGGCTTGCGTGATATTCATGTTAGCGGGGGCTCCAAACTGAAAACGCCCAAGACGGCTTTTTCCTACCCCCCACAAACCCTGAGCTAGGACAGTCCAACCACGCCTAGCTGATGCAAACGTGTCTGGGCTGACTGCTGGGCCCATTGAGGGCATACCTGTTGGTCGCGGAGCAAATGGCAGTTTCCGCTTCAAGTGATTTCTCTACAGCCGTAATCAATTCTTGCCCAGAGGGGCTCTTGCCATCTCCATCAGTCTGGACGGAATATTGAGGAAGACACATATTGCATGGCATCTATCACTTCCTGCCTGTCACTGCTACAAGTGGCTACATCAAAGGCGAACTTACCATGAACCACCAGACAGCGAAGCCCGCATGGAAGCACCACTTAAATCTACTTGTGCCCAAGCAGGGCCCTACGCTCAGGTACACTTGCTGTGTGCTAAAAAGCCTTGCCATCTGCACTCTCACAGATGCTCACCCTACAAGGCGATCGTCAGCGCAGTTTAAGCAGCCGTACAATTTGGTTAAGGCCAACATCTCTCTCATTCTTGTAGATGCTCATAGAATTGAGTACGGAAAGTGCTGAAAGCGAATGTGCACTCTCTTATTGAGGCAGTCCCAGGGACTGAATCACATTGACCACCACAAGAACTGCTTGCACAGTCCAGAAGTTGTGGTAGAAGCAGACAAGAAGAACGGAAATTACCTTGCTTCAAGAGGCTTGTGCTGGCCACCACCTCCAACTTTCCACCCAAAAGCAAATTGACTCTCAGACCTTTTTGGCCCCTTTTTGGGTCCAGGCATATAGGTTGCTGTGACACGACTTGGGTTGTTACAGCTTGGTTTTTGAGGGTTCGACCTTTTAGACTTTGGGCCTTTTAGGGTCTAAGGCTTTTGAGTTTGGCGGCCAGGGTTCAGGGCTTTTCGGGTTTAGGCTTGTAGGATTTGTGGCTTGGGTTCAGGGCTATGGGAGCAGGAAAGCACTTGGGCGTTGTCGTTGCACAATGAGAAGGAATCAGCATTTTGGAGTCCACTTCATAGGCGCTTAGACTGGTCTGGAGGTGTCCTGGAATCTGTGCCTGCATTGGCGCGTGCAAAGCATAAGGCGTTGACCGTCAGTGCCCCAGACACCTCCTAACTCTCCCCGAAAATATTCCAAGCCGAAATAGAGCGGCCATCGCGATGGGAAGTGCCAGGAGTGTCACCAGAAGCCCACCGCGCTCGATGAGATTGCGAAGGCCTCGGCCGTCGGCGGGTGAAATAGGATTAATCGTTTTTATTCTTATGAAACTTGCGTAACACTGCGGATTAGGTACCCGTATGGAGTTCAGTCTTGACAATCTGATGAGCAAGTTTCAGGCTAACAGGCAGAACATATTGCAGGCTAGGAGGTTCAGGTTCTGAACCTGTTGCCCTGTGTAGAGTCAGAAGATCCAGCCATTTTTAGTAACTGAGACACTTGCAAAATGGTACCGCCAGCTAGGACGGAAGCCAAAGAGGTTTGCGCCACTCAACTGTTAGCAATTATAATACTCACTCCTTTTCACTAGCAGTGTTTGGGGTCGAAGCTCTGGATGTCTGGCTCTCATACTCAACATGAAAGGGGCTGGTGCATGTGTGGCGACTACAGCTACAAACCTGCCCTCCTAATAACGGTGGTTGGAGCCTAAGGTCCGAAAGGTCTGAGCAATGTCATACTGCTCAACAGCACTGCCAGGGGCGTAGCATAAGCTTGCATTTGCAGAAAGCTTGGATAGTAGGTTTCAAAAATCGGCCACCTGTGAGTGAATAGTCAAATTGTGCCACAGACGCCAGCCAACCCTCAATGACACGTTTCCCTCCCCTTCGTTGTGCAAAAGAAGCTCCGAACATCGACAGCAAGCCCGTTCCAATGGTGTTGGCGACGTTACACCAGGCAAAGAAGGCGGTCTGCCTTATCTTCGAGGCTCCAAGCACAGGTGCACAATTCAGTAGCGCAGCTACGTAACAACCTAGGACTTTGAATTGCGGAGGGGCAACAGCTGGATGTCTAGTATGCTCATGAGGACTGCTGCTGCTGACATTTGCTGTGATGATAACCATAGCAAGAACGCATGCTGGAGTGATGTCATAAATCTGTCAGGCTCTAACATTCAGGGGACATCAACCCAAGGTGCCTCTGACAGGGGTCCTCAAGTTTGGTAGCAGGATCAGCAGCAATGATTAGGACAAGCGCAGGATAAGGACGGAATTGTGGCAAGCTGTCATCCCCACACCAACATCAGCCTGTGCCTGGAACTCTGGGACCCCACATCCTAAGACACGAGTCAAAATCACGGAGTCCTGCAACACATATGAACAAAGTCTTTCAGCCTCACTTGCATGCCGCTTGGCTTGTCTTTGTTTCCCGGCACTGCATGGCCGTCGACCTTGCGTGGCCATCGCTCCTTCGAGTTTAGACAGCGGTGCATGGCCATGAAGTGGAAGAGAGATCAACTACTTGGCCAAGATAAAATCAACAGGCATCATTTTGGGCGGTATGGTTGTTTGATTGGACCAAGTACCGTCGTGTTCTGTGATACTACCTCAAGCTCTTCTCTGCATGCATGTGCCGCTGGAAGGAGCAAGCTGCTGCCTTGCAGAGGTCTCTGCGATGCAAGATTCCTTTTCACCAGCAAGCTCATATCTTATGTCGTGGCATACAGGAAGCAAGCGCCAATCAAACTGGTCGGAGAGGTCATGCCATGGCTTTTGCCACGTGAAGAGCCAGCACCAGTACCGCAGAGCCCGTTGCTGTCAGTGCTGCAGCCGAGCTAGTGACTATTGATGCCTACTGGCTCCAGCCTACAATTGCCCCTGACGCCTTGATATCAGCTTGAGTCAAATTCCCTCGAACCCAGTCGCAAACTCGCATGCGATAAGAATCCACTTAAGTCGGTCGTGACTCATTGGTGAGGGCCGTGCCCTGATAGTCCAGAATAACGCGAGGCACCAGGTGAGCGCAAGCCTCAGGGCATTTGGGCATCTGCAAAGGTCACAGACTCCTGTTGAGGCAGCCGCCAAAGAACTTTGGAACGAAATGCCACATGTTGCAGAAACCGATTAGAAATTCATCAAGTTCTCAGGCGAGCCGCAATCCAGAAGATTCCGGCAACGAAGGGGCGGGAGAGGATCAGTGCCTTAAAGGAAGCGTGCCAGCAAACACCCGCCGAATTGAAGCAGGATGGCCTATTAAATCGCTGAAAACCAAGCTTGAAGCAAGGACCGCATGAAGAACACCTTGCAACGAATTGCACTTCCCTTAAAATTGGACGTCTAAAGGAATATAAGCAAGTAAAGGAGACAGATCCACAACTGCCAGCCTTCCTGAAAAGGCTGTAGCATGCTGAAAAACCGAAAGTCGAGCAACTGTCTCAGCTACGTCTCCGCAAATTGATGTTTGGAACATGCAAAGCAGACCGCGGTCATGCAGCATTCAGACTGCATCCTTGCCATTGGCCTCTCAGCAGAGTGGCAATGCCCTCCACGCTCTCCCACAGCTTTCGGGTTGCCGCGCGCAGCCCAAGCAGGCAGCAGTTCCTGAAGGAGCAATGTACATTGGTTGGGATGAAACTACCCGACGTTGGCTTCTTCAAACATCCTCTCAAGCTGAGATACAAACAACATGCAAGGCTAAGTGTCAGATCCGGGTGAGGGAGACGGCGCGTGCAGCAGTTTCCATTCAATTTGTGACATTCCCGCTTCAACAAGGATTGCAACAGAAGCCCACTTGAAACAACAGAGAGTTTGAAACCACAACTCGTCAATTTCCGCTTCTTTGGGCTCTCAGGGGTTTCCTGTCCTCTGTGCAGCTCCGGTGAGTGGCGCGCGGGCCTCTTCCAATGCGCCTGCACGGCAGGCTTGCGCTTGAGTTGAGAGAAAGGTCCGAGTATGCTCCTGCATGGAAACACAAACGGCAGCAAGTTTTCCGTATTGCATCTGAAAGTACACGCAGTACGGTCTTGCATATCCAGCAGAAACCATAGTACCATATCCAGGATGCACATGTTCTTGTGGTTGGAGAACTAACAGCTGGCCGGCGTGCCTGCATTAGCGGCCACCTTACGACAGGTATGGGCCAGCTGCATGGATTCTAGTCCGTGGAAGATAACAGGTGAATGCTAGATCCTCTCACAGGTGGTGGCCAATTCCCATGACAGATGAAAAGGCCCCTGGCTATTTCTGGTTCTTACATTGTAGCCACAGGTTATCGACTCGTCAATGCAAAGCTGGGTTCCGGAGTGCCAGAGTCGGATGTTAAAAACATGGTTTCGGAGAAGGCCAAGACAGGAGCCCCAACCCTCGCATCACGCAAACTTTGATCTGCGCGGTGATGCAGTTCTCTGCCCAGATTAGATAGTGATTTCTGGAAGGCCCCTGGAAATGATGACATGATCTCTATTGCCACTTGGCTGTGTCTGTTACCATACCATTCCGCCAGACTCTGTGCCGCAATGCCGCCGGCTGAAGGGAAGTTTCAAGTGTGGCCACGGGAGGCTCCTGGAGCGAGCAAACAGCGACGTTGTGTTGAGATGTATGCCTTCAACCGTTGCATGTCGCTGTGTGCTGCATACCAGCTTTTTCCATGTGCGCAGTGTGCTGGATGTTTGCTTCGTACTTACTCTGCATGCAATCTATAACATGTACGTTTTGCAGGTGTGTACCCGTTTTACCAATCTATGGCGTGTTGCAAAATATTTTGTCTGCTGGCGGAACACACTTGAATTCCAAGACATAATGCGCGTTCATCAAAAGTGCTTCCGTAAAATTGTTCAACACTTGTTCAGCATCTGGTTTATCTTGCGATCCAGGAATGAAGGGGGCTGACTTTCAGCTACATACTGGCAAGCCAATTCCCATGATCCCTAGCATCCCAGAAGCTATAGCCCTTTTCGAGCCATCGTAACTGCCATGTCAAGTTTAGGTGCAAGGTGACAGTTTCAGCAAGCCACCACTGTTTGATGAGACTCCAGAGATGCTCGTGACACCGTTTAGAATTTAGTTCATTGCGAGGGTCTGGGCTGGCCACTGCCGCTAGTCTGCAAGCGAACCAGACCTCGATTCCAGAGAGACAACTTTGCTGTCCACGAGCTATCGTGGCAACTCTCAAGACCACCCCGACACGTCTGACTATCAGGGGAGACCACAGATGGCTGAAACGAGCATCGACGCCACAAATTCAATATGACGGCTTCTTCGCCGAAAGAACAAACCACGTGAAGACTTCTCAACGCTTGAATCCTAGAAGTGCAGAAGAGTGGCCAGGGCTGCAATTATTATCAATGCTGCAGCCTGGCGAAGAAGGCGTTTAGCGTGCTGAACCCATTGCAGTCACCCTACTTTCAGTTGAGGCCTTCAACATGCTATACACTGCTACAAGTACAGAGCACATGCGGAGGCGCTTCCGCAACAGCGGTCTGTCAATCTTGAGCTAGCAAAGAGCAAGCTTCATCAAGCTCCATCCTTCCTTTTCAAGTGCGTTGCTATAGCACCGATCCTTGACCTTCAAGCGAGTGGGCCTGCCTGGACCACCAAGAGTCCGGAGGTTCCTCCGACGCGATGTACGAAGGTGGCGTACAAGGAGCCTCCATACATGAGCCGAGTGGAATCACTGCTGCTTCAGCCTACATTCTCACGCCTGCAAGGCCGCCGACTTGGCCGGCAAAGACCAAAGCAGGGTAGGCCACCTTCCTTACTCAACACCAGCTGGAAGGGAGTTGCAAATTGGAGCCCAATAGGCAGTTGTAGACAACACCTGGCAAGCCGAGGCCCCCACGAATATTGTGTCGAGGAGAGGTCGTTCATGACCTGGACAAGCATCAGGCTCTGAAGCTTGGAACAAGAGTTTGCTTCGACAACCTCATGCGTGCGGGCAGGTGATCTGCAACTCAAACCTATGAACTGACGCCTGTTTCCTGCAACTCTGAAGGTAGGGTTGACAGCACACAGCCTGGCGTCTAAGCAAACTTTATTTTCGGACATGATAAAGCGAATCCCACTAATGAATAGGCTTATCATACTTGTTTGCTGGGCTCACTCCTTGCATTGTCCAGATCGTTCATCGCGTGCAACACTTCAGAAGTATGCTCTGCCGCGAAACACTCCAGAGCATCACGGGAAACAGCACCGACTTTGTGTTGGTGGCATAGAAAAGGATCCAGGCCAGCCTCAAGGTAAGATGGAAGCCAACCACGGCAAACAATATTTTGCTGCTGCTAGGAGTTTGCCGCTTGTCCGTCAGCATTCAGCAGGCCTTGATAGATTCTAGCAGCTATAAGATGGGGCATGGCCGTGAGGGGTCGTGGTTTGGAATGCTGGAATGAAGCTGGGCTTTCCTGCGGCTGACGTAGGAGAGGCCAGCAAACGCTACTTCCTGCCAACCCTGAGCATCCCACAGCTCTTGTGCCAAGCATCCACGGCTCAATGTGGGGCTGCATGAGCGACCGCACCGCAATGAATGCATAAACTATGGCGTAGACTGTGCAAACCTGATCTGGAATAGGGCACTTGGGACCAAGGTTCTCTGAGCCGCAGTGCTTTCAGCCAGCTTCTTGCTCGGTGCATCCACATGGTTCTAATGTCATATTTCAAAAGTTGTGGAACTTTGTCAGCATCAGCAAACTCGACATCCTTCCCTCGATGCTCTCCTTTTCGCCTCGTAGATAGTAATGTGACTGCGCGTCTGAGTTCTTACCCCCAGCAGGATCCTCCCGAAACCTCAAGCTGGAAGCACCTCAAACTTCCAAAACCTCACACTTCCGGGTGGCCACGACTACCAGGAGCTGAGGGCTTCGGAGGGCCGCCCAAAGGAAGTTGTAGAGGAAAAGGATGGGGAAAAGCACCAGCCTCAATGGGGCTAAGGCGTTTCGGGGCTTGGGGTCTGGCACGGGTGGGCGTTGATGGCAGCCCTTGTTGGCTCCTTGAGAGTGCATAGCAGCTTGGAAATTCAGGACAGGGAGTTTCAGGCCTCGGTTCTGGAATGCACAGTCGTTTGGCTCGAGTACGGGCCTCAAGTTTCAACTATGCTCCCATCACCATGCATGCTAGAAATATGTGCAACCCAAATCAAATGGGAATGTAATCCCTATATACTATATTCCCATATTCCCTACTAAGAACCATCAACTTATAGGAGTGCATCTCGGCAGCGGGAGGTAGGTCTGCGCCACTGGCTGCTGATCTACTCCCACCTCAGCAAGCAGAAATTATCCAATCTGTCTTCGAGAGGAAGATCGGGGGCGAAGCAACGTTTGGCATCTCTTGTATGAGGGGCTTCTCAAGATGGGGGCCCCGGATTCCAAGGAATCTTTGACATTACAAAGACATGATAGGGATCCCGCTACAAAATTATGTAGGGTTTGTTATGAGAAACTCCCGAGGCAGCCTGAACGTGAGGGACTTCTGCTGTTGCTGTACCAGGGGCTCACCCCCCGCATTGATCAGGGCCAAGAAGTTTAAACTTTCTAAGGTTTATGAAAAAATCTGGACAGCCCACCGAGATACTGGGGAAAAAGGACATGCTCTTTTTTGCCTGATGAAGGAACAGTGTGGCTAGCCTGTTACAACTCAGATTATGAATTCGAGGAAAAAAGGCTTGGCAAGCTGTACTAATAGTAATAATATCACGAATAAGTAATGCATTATCTTGAAGAGAACTGGCTGGATGCCGGTGTCTCTAGCAGTCTGGTCTAAATTAAGTTACGATTTCGGGAGATGGCTGCATTCGGGTGTTGTTGATAGTCTGTTCCAAATTGCACTATGATTTTGGAGAGAATGGCTGACATGGGGCATTTTGGCTCGTCCGTTCCAAATTAGATTACGATTTCGGGCAGAATTGCTCCAAGTTAGGCTACGATTTCAATGAGAAATGCCAGCATCTGTTCCAGTTCGGGCTACGACTTCAGGGAGGAATGCCTGGATGTAGCCATTTTGGCTGGTCTGTTCCAAATCAGTCAACGATTTTGGGAAGAAATGGTTGGATTCGGGTTCTGTTGGTAGTCTGGTCCATATTAGAATACATTTTCGGGGAGAGATGGTTGGATTTGGGTATTTTTGGGAATCTGTTCCAAGTTGGCGTACGATTTCGGGGAGAAAAGGCTGGCTTCGCGTTTTCTGGTAGTCTGTTCCAAATTGGCATACGATTTCGGGGAGAAATAGCTGGAGATGGTTGGATTGGGTGTTTTTTTGGTCGTCTGTTCCAAATTAAATGCGATTCCCGGGAGACATTGCGGGATTAGGGCACTGTTCCAAATTAGGGGAAACATGGAATAGTAATCTCACTAGTACTCTAAAGAGTGTCAGCAACAATATTCTGAACAGTAATGGTAACTTTTCGAGTACTGGGAATAGTACGTGAATACCAGAATTCTCCCGATCAACATGGTGTGAGAGTGCTGCGGCATCTTTCGGTTGCAGAGTAAGGGGTTGTAGCTTAGGTTTCATGCAAGACAGTGTGGGGTATGTATGTGTTTGCTTGACGGTATCTTGATATTGCCACAAATCTGGGTCCCTGTTATATGACTGCCTACAGATATAATGTTTATTTCAATGACTCCAAAAAAGGGACCTCTAATTTTGGGCAGCACCTGTCCAAAAACAACATCCTAGCAGCCAGATGTCTCGGCAAGCTAAATTAGTTGTGGCGGTTTTTGGGGAGGATTCAAGTTTCAGGTTCTCCTCAGGGTTTGAGGAGGCACTCAAGAACACTGAACATAAAAGTTCAAACTTTTTTAGTTTCAATCGCAAAGCTGAAATTCTTGAGGCCCCCACCCCCGTTTGCGACAAGCTTCAGGGAAGCTCGTAGGTAAGGGGATGCATTAGGGCTTTTCAAGTTAGTTTGGGAAGAGGGGGGGTAAGGAGGGGAGGGGGGGGGCAGCAGGGGAAGAGGGAGGGGGTTGGGGAGGGGATTACGGAGGGTGATTGGGGGTGATGAGTAGGGACACATAGGGTTTAGGCGGTTTAGGGTGTATATATATATATCTATATGTATACATAGATACAGAGATACATGAAGGTTATATAGGGATACACAGGGTTCAGGGTTGAGGAATATGTAGCTAACCTCCCAAAGGCAAACCAATCCTAGTACAGCCTCCTCTCCAAGGTCTAAAGCCCTGAACATCCATAATATCTAAGGGGCTGCGCCCAGGGACTGGAATGCCTACCCCCATCCTGTAATGCAGAAACGAGATCCCAATGATGCTGTTGACAAGGGGGCCAGCATCATCAGCATGATTGGGATTCCGTTTCTCCAATCTGAGGCCTTCCGGAAATTTGCTGTCCCGGCTTGGATGGGCCTCGGGGCTAGTTTTCAAAAACCTCTGTGCTCGTGATTTTTTTTGGAGGGCACTGGCGTCCCGCCCTTGGCAAAGCCAGGGCTATGGCCGGCGGCAGCAATCCCGGGGCGCTTCCCGATTTATTCAGGTTTGAACACTAAAAGCAAGAAGATAGGCCCAACAACTGCAAGATCTCACGGTCTCTAAAAGCTAGCATATCAACAGCCTAATCCTTACATGCCATGTAAAGGGGCCTTCGGGGCTTCCAAACGTGCGTAGCATTTTATGTAAGGGGCCTTGGGACTTCCATACCTTTCCATACTTGCATAGCATTTCATGTGAGGTGCCTTTGGGGCTTCCATAGCCATGTAGCATTTTTGTCATGCAAAGGGCTTGTGGGGCTTCCATGCTTACGCAGCATTGTCGTCATGTAAGGGGCCTTGGGGGCTTCCACCTTTTACTTAGCATTTTGATTTTTATCATAGAAGGGATCTCACAAGCAAACTCACATGTCCTACAGCGGGATGAAGTAGTACGCGTGTTTTGTTTTTGAAGCTCACATGTTCAACCAGGGGATGTAATAATCCGCCTGTTTTGTGTTGTTAGCGCTACAGCTTTCATATCATTACCGCAGCTTTTGCATCATTACTACCATTTCGGGCTGGAGGGGTTAGGGGGTTGGGGGGAGTAAGGCCGAGTAAGGGGTAAGGGGGAGGTTAGGGAGGTGGTAGGTGAGCTTTTACTTTTTTTGCTTCTTGTGCTGTCCTTTTGTTCATGAGTTTTTTGATTGGGGAAGCGGGGTGGGTTGATGATGGGTCTATGAGGTTAAATTGTACAGCACATCCGAAAAAGTTTAAAAGCTTGCAATTGGAGGAGTAAGCGGTCCAGTCTTGGTTCCTCCTTGGCAGCCCAGGGGCAGAATCTACGAAGGTCGAGATGGTTGCTGGATTGATCATCAAACCTCCGGGGTTCTGCTGCTACGACTCCCTTGCGCTGGGCCGTGTAAAGCAGTGTTGTGAAGAGCTGCTTTATGCGTGCACATGTATTGTCCGCGAACTCAAACAACATGTTCGATCTTCCAACGAATGAATCCACACGCAGAAGAACCAGGTCTGCACAACAAGCTCCCAACCATGAAGACTTTATACAAAACACTCCACGTAGAAACCTTAAGAACAGCAAAGGCGTATCGATATCAAACTCGGCTCGGCTGGTGACCGGTAACAGCACATTGTGCTCATAGTGCCCATTGTTTCTGATGCCTGTGACCGACATGCACTAGACAAACACAAGCCCGCTCTGTCGACATTCCGAGCTTTCAGCATCTGGTGGAGGCTGCGCCGGCTGTCGGGGAAGCCGCGGCAAGCACTACCATGAACCCCAAAGTGGACGCTCTAGCTTCCAGATCCCACAGCGAGCCTGTGCCGAGCACGAGCATGAGCGCCAGTGCGAAAAACAGGTAGGCAACTCGCCACGCATTGGGCAGTTCCCGAAGCAGCTGCCTGTAAGAGAACTGTTGACCGATTGTTCAGTAGCTTCCTCAGAATGGTGTCATGCATAAGGACACACCATATTTCGGTTGACTCGCAGATCCCTAACAATGGTCATAGCCATTTGTTGTATCACGAAGCTTCTGATCAGTGTCATGCGGTACCTGAGCATGCAGCCTATCTGATGCAAGCGCCTGTCAACCCAACTTGCGCGGGCAGCCGGCTCTTCTGCGGGCGGCATCATGGCTCTGAAGGTCTGGGACAGGTCGGCAGTATCTGTAGTATGTGTGGGTGCTGATCGGAGGAGGTTTTGATAACCCGGTGTTGCAAAGCTTCCAAACTGGGGGCTCTTCTTTCTGCGGGTTCTTCCGGTGGTGTTCGTTTGGCTGAAAACATCTGTAACATGCTGCAACTACAACACAATTGCCGGCCAACACAGGACAACCGAACAATCTAAGCTTTGTGGGCTCTCCGGGTCAATGGTGTTGCGGGGTTCATGACTCATGCACGCTCTCAGAACCTCGAAGTTGGACACAAATGCTGCGAAAAAGTCTCCAACACTCAGTGAAAGCTGCTGTAACAAAGAGAGCCTGCTCGGCATTTTCATTCAACACACAGCCGTGCATGTGTTAATGTCAGTGTGCTTTGCGCGTGGGAATGATTGAACGTTTTGCGGCAGGCGTTGTCACAGGAACATCTCTCCAGACATACCCTAAACCCTATATACTAGCTCTCCAGACCGAGAGAATTTTGTCTATCCAGACACGCCGTAAATGCTTTAAAGCCGATGTCCCGAAACTATATGAGGCAAAAAACCCATGATTATCCAGACAAACCTAAGCTGAATACCTAAACACTAAAAATGAAAAACCGTACCTATCCAGACAGACTCTAAGCCCTGACCCCTACAATGTCACTGCGCGCACACAAGTCTGTGTTACGAAACACGAACCAAGTCTCATCAAACATCACGGGCCCGCGGAACTTCCCCTCTATTGACGAAGCACGTGCGAGTGCCGATTGAACAAGTCCGTTTCCCGCACGAACCGTGGAGCTGCAGGCTGTTGGCACCTGGTTTTGTCACGGGTGAAACATGTTGGCGAGCGCTCCTCCAAGGTGAGACCAAACTCATACGACCACAACATGCATGTCACAGACATACATACCTTCCGGTCGACTGAAGCCTTGGTGTGGCTGAAGCCTTCTTGAAGCAGCATTGCGTCGAATTGAGCAACTGCTGGCAAACAGGCTTCATCTGCCAGCTCAGGAAACACACCTTCA